CTGGCTTACAGTGGAAGGATGAAGGTAGAAGAGGAATCTGAACCATGTTAATTAATTCTTCTTTCCTTTGAAATGATACCATGAGTTTTTTTCTTACGTTTTAGTAGAGTTTTCACTGCGCCAGTAGTGTGATACATACCTCAAAGCTGAGTGTGTAAATGGGAAATGCCCAGACATCTCCTTCTTCTGACACAGTTTTCCTTGGAAATATAGACAACCTAACAGCAGTTGTCTGAATAGCTGAACACCCCCTGTGACTCATCAGTGGATCTGCATGCTTGTTGAGTATCCTGGAAGAGGAAGTCCCTGGACAAGATTATACTGGTAGTAGAAGAAGATCTGGAAATTGTGATAGCAGTTCAGGTGCTTCTTGCACACTGGAAGCCAGATTTCCAAGGCAGTTGTATACATCATTTTTGCAGCTGACTTCCTGTTGTGTGGGGTGATCTCAGTGGTTCTGAATTATTCTTTAATGGTTCAGATTATTAGTAGTCATAGCAGTTCATCTGTCCAGCTGCAAACAAAAACAAATTAGATGATAGAAAGTTGTTGGCTTCGATATCATCTTATCGTAACTTCTCAACTATAACAAAAAGGAAGAATAAAATAGAGAAAACAATTATTAGCTTCTACTACTACAGCGGTTTTTAAAATGTCCATCTTGTGCAACTTCCTGTGTTTTTTTTAGCGTGGCAGTCTAGGTCTGTCTCTACAGGACCTCGTAGACATTTTTATTGTAAACAGTGATTTTAAAAGCTCCGTGGGACAGTGTGAAACCTCTCACCCCTGAGGAAATAAAAACCTGAAGTAAATAGAAGCTGTAAAAATGCACTAAATATTGTGTACAGTATCTATTCCCAATTCCTGTGAAATGGCTTAAGTTAATTTCACTAAATATTCTTAATAACTTTAAATTTTACCCCTAGTCTTTGTACTCCCTTCATTTGTAAATTGAATGTAATCTTTTTGGTTTTAAGAGCTTCTGCATAGAATTGCTGTTATATGCACTAATTCAAGCTTGGTTTTGATAACTTTGTTAAGGGAATAGGAGGTGTAGAAGTGGAACCACAAGAGAAGTTTCTTCTTGAGGGGTGAATGAAAGTGGGTATATGCTGTGTGGCTGCTGCCACTTAGAGGAAGTCCAGACAGGTAGCAGGAACAAAATTCTTCAGCCCCTGGCTGCTTGGTGTTTGCTGGTCTGTTGTGCTCCTGCCAAAGCTGCCTACAGGGAGCTTCCCCTCCAGCAGTCTGACAAGAGCAGGAGCTGGGCTGTTTAGCTCCTGGCCTGCCAGGAGTGCACAGTGGAGATGGATGCTAACCCAGGTGTGCTGCTCTGATGGGGAAGGTGGCAGTGGACAGAGCAGCCTGCTCTCTGACAGTCATCTCCCACATCTTCACAGGGCACATGCTTGGTGCTCTTGCTGAGCCCCAACCTCTTCCTGTTGAAATTCTGCGCTGCAGTTCTGGGCAGTGCTCAGAGCTCTCTTCTAGCCCCCAGATGCTGTGCTTTGCTTCAACACAGCAACAGTCAAGTACAGTTTGATTCAGAACAGATTGATATGACGTTTAATTGAAGAGGTGCATTCCAGAATGAAATACAGCTTTCAGAAACAAATTAAATTCTTTTTATGTGTTATTTTTCACCCTTAGCACAGACTTGCAACTCTCTGAGCCCATTTTCCAGAGTATAGAGGCTGCCTTTTTGCCTCTTTCTTTTCGTCGTGTATTATTGCAGAGTCCTGCAGAAGCATTCTTGGGTAGTGCAGATTTATCTAGTCTTGTTTCCCTTGTTCAGTGGTGGTGAAAGTTAAGGAGGTGTAGAAAGGACTGATTTGTTGGCATTGGGTCTAGGGTTGGCTGTCTTTTAACAGGCTAAATGATGAGTTAACCACTTGAAATAGATCCAGAGCACAGTTCAAACTGTTGTTCCTCTTGGCCTGTTGAAATGGCTTAAAACTGTTTTCCTGTGATGTATCACTAGAGGGTTATAAGGATTTGTTTGTTTTTCACAGAAATCCAGAAAAGAAGTAGACTTTCAGAAGATTTTTTTTTACTTGTTTTTTCACAGTTTGTCTTTATAAACTTTTGATTGTGCTTTCAATCTGTATGTTAGTGCCTAAGACACATGCAACTTGAATGATCTCTGTGGTTCTTCAGGTAGCTTTTGTCTCTACAGTCTGCACTGTGGAATCCTCAGGCCCTATTCTGTTATGTACATTGTTGCCCTTTCAGTTAAGTTCCACTTCCTTCAACAGTGGCGCCTCTGTGTATGCAGTAATGTCTCATGGCCTCTGCAAGAATGAGAGGAGGAACTTCAGTGTTGCAGAAGATGTAAATATCTGTTTAAAGACTGTCTCATTTTTATGTGTCTGAAATGTCCCCTCCTCCAGTTCATTGATTTAATTTTGGTGGTTGGGTGATTCATTGATGAGGCTCAAGGAACAGGTGGGACATCTGCATATATATATATATTAAAAAAAAAAAGCCCTTCTATTTAAAAATAGATTTTATTGACTATATGGCTGCTTCAAATTTGTATTTCACAAGTACTTTCCACAGGTGCTACTGTTCAGGAACATTTATATGCTGAACAAGATAATCTAGTTTTAAACTAGTCTAGAAGCCTTTCTCGGTTTGCTTGTGTCTGACCCTGCTGAGATTTGTGAAAGATGTGCAGTGTGGTGGTTTTGACTTGTGGAGGTGGGGGTACAAAACAAGGCAACTTAGGCTTGTAGATACAAGCAAGCATTTTGTGTTTTGATTGCTGTTTTTGAAGCAGAACCATATCATATATTCTGTGCAACTACTGGATTAGTCGTTGACATTACCTTCCTTAGTCTTAGAAGATTCAGTATAGTACACTTGTTCCCATTACTTTGAAAACAAAAACAAAACAAAACAAAAACCAAAAAAACCAACCTCCTTCTTTCTTAGCAGCCTGAAACCAAGCAGCAGATACTTGCAGTAAACCCAGAAGTCTTTCAGTGGCATTTGGTTTTTAATTTCCTCCCATGTGTATTTCCTTCCTGTCTGCTATGCAAGTTTGCTTCATATCTTCAGTTTCCTGAAGGTGTAAATGTATCCAAAACTTAAATAGAATTACTTAGGATAATCACACATTAAGAAGTTATTTGTTTTTTTATATATATATACTCACACACACACACCACAGTGGTCACACTTGCTGAGGTCTGTGCCACCAATATGGCAGTAGTAGTTAGTCTGGACCGTTTGTATGTAACAAGTAAATATTCACATATCTCTCCAAACAATGTATGTTGGTTATGAACTGATGCAGGTGGGAATTTGCTAAGATAAACTGTGGTTGCGTTCCCATGTGTGTTCTTTTATTAAATGTGCAACTTCTAGGTCAGCTGTGATCATACATGTGCTTGCTTTTATCCCTCTTTTGCTTCATCCTCAAAATCCAGGTGTGCTTAGTTTCTTTTAGTAATCTCACTTTTTTTTTTTTTCAAGTCTGACTAATCTACCTTTGTCTTTTTTTCCTTTATTATCTGGACATAGAACTGCTATTTGAAGTTCCTCTTATGCTGTTCCACAGCGCACAAACACAATTCAATTTCAGTGAAAAAAACTGATTCTGCTGATGTTTCTGTTGCCTTTCTGTCAGACTGCATTGCTGTCTTACAAAGCAAGGTGAACAGGGCTAACTGCAGATGGAGATCACTGCATTTGAACTGGAAGCAAATGAGAACTTGTTGACTGTCCTGTGTCATGCATCAGGGCATAATGTGCTTCTCTGTTTTCATCTCTCTTTCCCACAGTTAGTTTCTCACTATTTGCACTGGAATGGCATTATGTTACTTTCAAGATAAGATTACCATTGTGGTACGAGCACCTTCCTCCAATTGTCCTTGCTGAACAACATAGAACAGTGTGTAACATGTTTTAAAAAAACAATCCTTCTTTACAGATTAAGTAAAACAGTATCTGTTGCAGCATTTTATCTGGCAGTATTCAGAAATGGCATCTGTGAAAATTCAATGTTAGCACTTGGAAAATCTGAAATCTATATGGTCTATAGGCTTGATGCTGGAGTGGGATGTAGCTGGAGTGTTCCCAGGCCATGCCCCTCTACTGGCACCAAACAGGGAACTGGCCAGAGGAGAAATCATTAGAAGCTAGATAAACAGTGTGAGTAAAGGGGTGGTGACCTGGGCAATGAAGACCATCCTGAGGGAGGGAGGGAGCAGGCAGGGAGAATAACACACCTGAAGAAAGGGACTAGAATTGTCAGGCCAAGGTATTAAAAGTAAAGTTTCCATGGGTTATCACAAGCTGCTCCATTTTCTGTGCCTGTTTTGAAGTCCTTTGGTCTAACCATTGCAGTGCTGAGCACTCACTTCTCCATCTTAAACTGCTGTGACTTGTGTGTATTATTGCTAAATTACCTCAAGAGTAGTCTTTGGTGACTCAGATTGGTTAGGCAAGATTTGCAGATACTCTTCCATTAAAATAACTATTGGAATTAGGGAAAGGGGGTGAGCTTTTGGGCTTTCTTTGACTTTAAAGTAGAACCAGCGAACCTCAGAAATAAATACAAGCTGAAAATAATTTACTTTTGACTTCTCTACATGTCCATTAGACCACCAGAGAGACAGTATGGCTGGTGCCTATAGAGAATGATGGAAGTGACAGAAGGAGTAATAATGTGTCATCCCTTAGAAAAAGAAGCTGAGATAATTCTTGCCCTGTGAAACATGGAGAGATTAAAGAGGTGTGCTATAAACCTACTTCTTTACTGTGTTTTGTTTGTGAGTTAGGGCTTTCAGCTTCTGAGCTCATGCTGAAAGGTGTCCTTCATATCTGTCTTGAGGATATGGAGTGAAAGATCAGAGAGAGAGATAGTGCTTTGCTAACTTAGTCACTGAAAGTAAAGTTGCTAAAAGTGAGAATGAAAACGATGAGCTGATGACATGTGTAAAACTTGTTTCTGCAAGTGATTAAGGCCAACTTGTAGTGCCATTAGGGATCTTGACATGGTGGTGGTGACATTCCTGGTGGCTGGTAAGTAAGTGGCTTATATGGTGGTTTAGTTTATGAAGAAGGTTGTCTTTTTGTGAGGAGCACTTGTTTTCTGTCAGTTCCTTTGTAGTCTCAGAGCTGGAGCACATTAAAAATAATCTCTGGGTAGAAGTGCAGAGAATTAAGTTGAGTTGTCTTCCATGAAGCTATGAAGAAATGACTTGTTAGATTCTTTTTAGTTCTAGTTGGATGCTCAGCATTCACACGTACTTCCTAGACTTAGATTTCCATGCTGCTCCTTTCCCATTTATACTTATGTTTGGTGTTACTCCATCCCATGCACAGAATTCTGCATTTGTTCTTGTTAAATTTTGCTCGATTGACAATTGCCCAATGCTCCAACTTATCTACATCCCTCTGCAAGGTCTCTCATCCCTCCAGAGATTCAACAGCATTTCACAGTTCAGTGTCATTAGCAAACTTGCTATTGGTGTGTTCAACTCCTGCATCCACATCCTTGGTAAAAAGATTGAACAGCCCCTGGAATCGAGCCCTGAGGAACACCACTGGTGACTGGTTGCCAGCCAGTTGTAGCCCCATTCACTACAACCCTTTAAGCCCTGCTGTTCAACAAGTTCTTCATCTGGTGCGTGAGGCACCTCCTCATCTTACAGCTGGACAACTCATTCAGAAGGATGTTGTGAGGGACAGTGTCAAAAGCCTCACCAAAGTCCAGAAAAACCACATCCACCACCTTCCTTTCATCCACTAGGCAAGTGACCTTATTGTAGGGTATTAGTTACACAGTACTTTCCCTTTCTGAACCCGTGATGACTCCTGCATGCTCGTTGTATTGTTCTTTAAATGTCTTTCAGTAGCACCCAGTATGATCTCTGTAATTTTTCCAGGTACTGAGGTTAGACTAGCAGGTCTGTAGTTTCTTGAGTCTTCCCTCATACCCTTCTTGTAAACTGGAATAACACTGACTAGCTTCAGGGACCTTTCCAGACTCCTAAGGTGATCAAGGGGGGTCTTGCTGTAACATCTGTGAGCTCCTTCAGTGCTCTGGGATGAATCCCATCTGGCTCTGTGGACTCAGGAAATTCCGCTGACACAACTGTTCCTTTAAAATTCCAGTGTCCACAAATGGGAAGTCACAGCTCCAGCACTTGGGGTCCTCTGACTTGGTCCTCTGAGGACCAGGCAGCCCGAGGTCTGATAAGGATCATAAAAGCGTATTATAAAAGTGTAATAAAAAGACTGAAGCAAAGACCCCATTGAGTGCCCCTGTTCTAAATTAATCCCTATTAGTAAGGTGACCATCTTCAACCAGTATCAGTCCAGTGTTTTCCTTAGATGTCCTCTTGCTGTTAACATACTTTAAAAAGCCTTTTGTATCTGTTACAACACTGTCAAGTTTCAACTCTAGTTCAGCTTTGGCCTTTCGTGTCTTCTCCCTGCATGTGTGAACTCTGGCTCTGTGATCTTCCTGCAAAGCCTGACCTTCACTCCAGAGACCGTACAAATTTATTTTTCTGCCTGAATTCCAAGACGAGTTCCCTGTTCAGCTAAGCTGGTCTTCTGCCCCACATGCTTGATTCCAACACCATGAGATTGCCTGCTCCTATGCTTCTCAAAGATGGTTCTTTAAACCTGACCAGCACTCATCAACCCCTAACCCCTCAAAAGCAGATTCCCAGGGACACTGCTGCATAGCTCTCTGAGTAGTTTAAAGTTTGCTCCCTTGAAAGCCAAGGTAGCAACTCTGGGTACAAAATGAAACAAAAATGTGGGGATGGAAGGAGAAAGCAAGGTGGTAAGCAATTGCCTAAGTAAAAGCCATGTAGCTTCTACTGGCAGTTCAAAGATATTCTGGATTTCATTTTCCATTCTTTGTTAAGTGTAGTTTTATTTTTAATGCACTCCGTAGTATTACAACATTTTACTTTTATATACTATTATACAAATAAATGTTTAAAGTAACATTTGTGTGCTTTGACACCTCTCCTGTCAACTTGTCACCTTTTTTTTTTGTGGTTGAGAATCTGATGGTTGTGTTAGTTTTTCCAATAACTGAAATACCACTTTTGTACATATTAAAACATAACTAAACCACAGCACCATTTTCAGAGTGATGTATGTTACTGTTCGTGGTTAATAGCACGTCTCAGCCTCTGTGCATTATTTTCTGTAGAGTGTTATCTTTGTGGTCTTGTTCTCAAGATGTGAAAATTGTTTACTTTCCCTCAGTATGTCACAGTGAAGTTGGAGCACTTGTTTTTTGAATAACCAGCAGTCTAGAGCAGGTCAAATGTGAGGAAACTCAACATTTCTCAAAAGCTATATTAAGATAATATTAAGGAAGCCAAACCAAACCTTGAGAAACTAAGAAATAACAATTCAAATCAGTTGAGTGACCCTCATTTTTTCCTCCTTCTGAATGCCATGCCTTCAGTAGTTAGAAGATCATGTCATTTTCCTTTCACTGCAGCTGCTACTCTGATATCCCAGTCGCCATTGGTGCTGGGAACACAAGCTTGTCGTAAGAGGAAACTCCTAGTGCAGCTTTTTATTTTGTATTGTTTTACTACCTTAGACATTTACTAAATATACTTCAAATTCTTTCCTGTACATGGAACTACATTACAGCTTCAGTGTTCAAATTCCTTACAAGTGTTAGTAGTTTATTATTGTAATAGATTTCTAAAAATACAGCTGGAGTGGTACAAATTGCTTTGTCAGAAGTTCACATTGAATTCAGGCTTTCCTCAGGAAGCCTGTTGTCTTTTGTGAAGGCTGAGTCTGGAGGCAGTAGGATTCAGTAGGGCTCTCTAGGAACAAGAGGAATCTACAGGAGCTGGGCTGATCTCCTCTAACATCAGTAAATTCATAACTCTGTCTTGCTGGTATATCTATTTAACACTAAAAGAGGGGCTTGATTGTCACAGCTTATGAACCTGGTATGGGCTGTCTGATGGACTTGCTTTCGATGGCACGGGTCATCTGAGATTCTGGGTTGTGGACAGGAAGAAAGCTGTCTCTGTTGGAGACATGAGTAAGGAATTATCTTTCAGTGCTCAAGTGTTTGTACTGGTGACAAACTAGTCCATTTGTAGGGAAGTATTTGCAATTTTTATGTCTAATTTTTCCAATAATTTGTAGCATGTTGCCTTTTCCAAATAATTTAGGAATATATTTAATTGTTCTAATGTTTGACTAGGTCTGTTTGTAAAAGTGCAATTGATTTGTTTCTTCTAGTGCCTCCACCAGAGAAGGTTGCAGTAACATCTGAAAATTTCAAAACTGTCTTGCATTGGCAGTACCCACCTATGTCTGAAACCCCTCGTTTTACTGTGGAAATCAAACCCTACATGTAAGTTCTTACTCTTTTGTAATTTCCTGTACCTGATACTGGGTAGAAGCATATAACAGCTGTCAGTCTGTGGTAAATAGTTCTGATTCTATGTATTTTGAAGTCAAGCAGAGTGAAGGTGGCCTAAGTGTAAAGTAAGGCAAAACTTGTCAAATGACAGGATGGTTGAGGTTGGCAGGAACCTCTGAAGGTCATCTGTTCCAACCCCCCCCCCGGCCCCAAGCAGGGTCACCTAGAGCCAGCTGTCCAGTACCATGTCGAGATGGCTTTTGAATATCTCCAAGGATGGAGACTTCACAAGCTCCCTAGGCAACCTGTGCCAGTGCTCAGTCACCCTCCCAGATGCTTTGTCACAGGCAGTGTATTGTGCAATGTTGTGTAATTGCAATTGTATTAACTTTAACTTGATCTGTTTTACAGTGCAGGTACCTATAAGATCGTCTCGACTTGTGTGAACATTACATATAGATTTTGTGATCTCTCAGGGGAAATACAAGATCCTTTTGACTCTCACTGGCTGCATGTTAAAGCTGTCATTGGGTCACAACAGTCTGAGTATGTTGAGTCAAATGAGTTTATTTTGCAAAGGCATGGTAAGTTCCATAAGCTAAACCTTGTATTTTTTTCCCAAAATTTAAAAAGTAATTACTCATTTTACTGTTTTATTGCATCTCATTTGGGAAATTGGTAAAGTCAGGAGTCCAGGACAAAAGGAAGCATGATTGTTATTCGATAGGAGCTTCTCCAGTTCTGTCTCTGTAAGGACTATAATCCCATGTACTGACAGCTTTGGGTGTCTAGATAGTATCAAGAAACTATGGGAGCCCACTGTAGCTGCATAATTTAACAGTTACTCATTATTCATGTAAATGCTTTGAGCTGCTTTGGCAGAAACTAGTTTTTCTCATCAGTATTGTTGTCCTGGTTTGAGTAAATTGTGTGTCTAGACACCAGACCAACCTGTCCAACGCCTGTCCTGGGAGACCTCAGCATTGCATGACCAGTGCAAGGCAGGCACAAGAAAGTAAGGAAAGACTGCGACTTCCTCTCATGTTTGCTGCTTTCTCCAGGTACAGCTTTCAGGCAGGGCATTGCCTGTGAGGTTCTCCCTGACTTGGGCCATGCTTTACATAGAGCCAGATTTTTGCATTGCTGAAGCTGACGGAGTGGAGTTCCTCTTTGTTTTCCACTATGATTCCCTCCCCACTTAGTACTCCAATAACTTGGAATCAGTGCCTTATTTCTAGTATTTGACCAGGGGACAGAAGTCATGGTAATAATGTTGGGTTTGACAGTTTGCAGAAAATTAGTAGCCATGTGTAGGAGGAGACAGACAATTCCCATGGAACAAGAAACTCACACGTTTGTTCAGATCATTAGACACTAAAAATTCCCCTAGGCCATTGCCATGGGAAATCAGTTTTCCTAAGTACTGTTGCTCAAGATGGAGATGTGCTTAGATTTTCAGATGGCGTATTTTGGTACAGTGTATTTTTAGCTAAGTGATTTATGGTGGGATCTAGTCAGCAGTATTTTGTGTTCTGTTCTCATTCACATATATATTGGATTTCTTTCTTAGTTTTTTTCTGGTTTTAGTGAGCTGAATTTTGATGGCCTAATATGTGTAGCAGAGTTGAGTTGCTTAACAGTGAAATTCCATTTCCATTTTAGGAGCAGATTCATAAATGTATCCAAATGCCTCTGTTACTTCTAAGTGTCTCAGCTGTGTGATATTCACAACATTAAAATAAGCATGTAATTCTTCTCAAACCTCTGAGTTTTTGAAAGCTAACTATAAACAGCATATTCTATGTTAAAAGCTTTAACAAAGCAAAGGTGCAATTTGTTGCAGGAAAAATAGGACCGCCAAAACTGAATCTCTCGAGGCATGGTGATAAAATCATGGTTGATATTTACCATCCTCCATTTCCATCTGTGGATCTTCTTCCTTGGCTCAAAAACATTTATTCAGATCACATGTACTCAGTCACTTTTTGGGATGGTAAAAATGAGGTAAGTTCCAAAATGAAAACTTCACATTAAAAGTATTTGTTTGCCTAAAACGGGTAAACAAGGGATTTACTCCTGTGACGTGCAGAGCCAACAGATATCAAGAAAACAGTCAAACTTCACATAGGACTGCTGAAGCCCTAAAATATGTGTCTGGAAGGTCACGATTTTAGTTTTTGAAAGGCACATCTTATAATAAAAAAGGGATTATTGCATTAGCTGTACACAAGATACAGTTACTTGAACCCATGCTACTGTTTCTGCATATGTGCTTGAAGCATTGGTAGCTTTACTTGTGCGCCTTTTACTTGTCTAGATAGACCTTTCATTTAAGATTATTACTGTTCAAGATATTGATACAACTTGATTTAGCAGTCATGGAGGGTCAACTTGAGGAAAATTATAGTAGATAGTTTATTTAGTTACCTTTTCATATGCATCATGTAGAATTAGAAATGTGAATATAGACTACAAACAGCACAAATTTGAGCTGAAGGCAACTGAATGCAACATACAACATTTTAAGGTAGCTCATAAGCTGATTGCCAAAGTTCACACAGGTTTTGCAAGGCATATAGGTGGTATAGGAGCTATATCTAATAGTGGTTTACATTTTTGGAAGTGTTGAAAAGATACTGTAACATTTATGTTGTTGTATTGAGTCGAATTATATGACTGGTTTTTTTCAGAGTAAAGAGTGGGGCCCTGAAGATGACTGTACAATGGATAAATGTAGCCTCATCATCCCAATTGTTGATGAAGGTTCCACGTACTGTGTTTCAGCAAAGGGAAATTTCTATGATGATCTGATTGTTGGAACCCCATCAGAAAAAAGCTGCATTTATGTTCCTCTCGAGCAGAAAATCAGTAAGAGAATTCTAAAACTTTAGTAAGAACATACTGAGTCTGGCCAGAGATTTGTTCTAGTTAAATGTTCAAGCTCTGATATAACCATAGGATGACTTGGACCCATATGGGAGAATATGAAAAAAGGAAAAGCATGGTCATTCCTTTCAAAATGCACTTTCCCACTTCTAAAGACTTTTAAAGATCACGTATGATTTTCAAGTAACCCTGCCTTTTTTGGGAGGTTCTTTTCCTGCATCATTGGTATTACAAAACCTGATTTCATTGCACCTAATAATTGGTGTAATACCAAATGACAAATTGAACATTCACCAAGTTACATGATTTTCACTGTCTTTCTTCTAACAAGGGGCTTTTGCTCAGTCTTACCACTGAGGAAAATATACATAGACTTTCCTTGAGTTTGAAGCAACTATAAACTTGTGGTCATAAAACTGAGGTATTGACATCTTTAATTAAATAGAACACAGGCAGCTAGTGACCCAACTTTATATCTCTGATAACCTCTTACCAACTTTTTAATGTCACTTTGTTCTGGGCTAAAACTTCACTAGAGAAAAGAGATGGAATTGATAGAAGCAGTTGTGTGCTTTCTTTGATGCACAAGAGCAATGGTAGGATTGAGAGGGATGACATTAAGGAGAGTCAGACTAGTGAAATCTTACTAATAATAGTTAAGTCTATGTTTTGGAAGATTTTACATTTTAATTTTATTGTACATAGACTGTAGTGATTATGTCAGCTAATATGCTATCACATGGAAAACACAAATCTGTTCATCCCCATCTGTCATCTGTAAGGAGCAAGAAATTAGTTATAAAATTCTTTTACCTCTAGAAAAATATCATATAAATCGAAAATCTTCTGTCATTCTTATTTTTATTTACTTGATATAATGCTTTATAAATGCCATTTTCTTGAGTGAAAAAAAGGTGTTAAATTAACTAATTCACACATTGCAGCCAAGCATTCTGAGTTATTAGTTTCTGAAGTTATTCTATGTGTTTTATTTTTCCAAACTTCCTAATGGATTTTGCTCTGTCTTCACAGACACACAAAACATCATCTTTCTGTGTATTGGTATTTTGAGTCTGTGTCTAATTGTGGCAGCATTTTGTGGCTACAGGAAGCTAAGGAGGAAGAACATAATGTTGCCTAAGTCTTTGGTAAGTTCAGATTTCTTATCTGTGTCAGATTTTTAATATCCAACTAGGTAACTTTTGTAACTATAACATCTTTATGCCTGTCTCATTTTTTTACTGTGGTCTGTTAGATGTTTAGGATTTATACCAGTCTAATGTTCCGATAGCCTCTGCAAACAGATGCCTTGTATTCAATTTAGAGCTAGATTTCACTGTCTTTTTAACTGAAGTAGGAGTGGTTGGTTTAGTTTGAGAACTTGGTTCTTAAAAAACTCGGTGTGTGTACACTGGTTTGTATTCTTTCTAGTAGCAGGCACAAAACCACAGAATCACTGAGGTTAGAAGAGACTTTTTTAGATTGTCTAGTCCGACCCTTTTGCTCAAACAGGGCCAGTGAGACCAAGTGGCCCAGGACTTTTTTCAGTTGGGTTTTGAATACCTCCAAGGGAGGAGACTCCACAGCTGCTCTGGGCAACCTATTCCAGTGTTTAACCACTCTCACAGTAAAAATTGTTTTCTTACACTCAGATAAAATTCCATGTGTTTGAGTTTGTGCCCATTTCCACTTGTTCTGTCACTGAACATCTGTGAGATTCTTTCATTACTTGGTAATACTGTCATACTGCTAAGTGCTGCAGTGTTCTTTGTGATGTGCAGAGTAAGGGGAGGAGTAGTAGTGCTGAAGGAAAAGGGAAGAGCAACCAGGTGAATTCTGTTCTCACACTGAGCAGTCACAGAGAAGAGAGGTCAGCAGCCTCTCTGCATTAAAAATTTCCTGTAGCTGTCCTTAGGAGATGGAGTGGATCTACCTTCAAGAGTAGCTTTCACATCAGGCAAGAGCAGAGTATCTGACAAGTACTGTTATTGTATCATAGAATCATTTAGGTTGGAAAAGACCTTTAAAATCAAGTCCAGACCATCTCCCTAAGCACCACATCTAGACAATTTTTAAAGACAACCAGGACTGGTGACTCAGCCACCTCCCTGGGCAGCATGTTCCAATGCCTGACAACCCTTTCAGTGAAAAAGTTCTTCATAATGTCTAGTCTTAACCTCCCTTGGCACAGCTTGAGGCCATTCCCTCTTGTTCTGTCACCAGTTACTTGTGAGAAGAGACCAGCACCTACCTCTTTACAATGACCTTTCAGGTAGCTGTAGAGGGTGATGAGGTCTCCCCTCTGCCTCTTTCAGACTAAACAGCCTCAGTTCCCTCAGCCACTCATAAGACTTGTTCTCAAGGCCATTTACCTGCTTCATTGCCCTTCTTTGGACACACTCTAGCACCTCTATGTCCTTCCTGCATTGAGGAGCCCAAAACTGGACACAGTTTTCGATGTGTGGCTTCACCTATGCCGGATACAGAGGGATGATCACCTCCCTGATCCTGCTTGCCACACTATTCCTAATACAGGCCAGGATGCCATTGGTCTTCTTGGCCACCTGGGCACGCTGCTGGCTCATATTCAGCCGCTTGTCAATTAGAACCCTCGAGCCCCTTTCTGCTGGACAGCTTTCCAGCCAGCCCTCCCCAAGCCTGTAGTATTGCCTGGGGTTGTTGTGACCCAAGTGCAGGACCTGGCACTTGGCTTTGTTTGTGTCTAATTAGTTACAGCAACTAACAATCAGCAGTAGCTTTCAATAACTGCCGTGTGAGGCAGTAGTACATGGTAATCATATAAAGAGTGTATCTTCTCAGCAGATACAGGAAGTCTCTCATAAGACTTCGAGAGAAAAAAAAAGGCAATGATCTTCATTAAAGGGACCCCATCATAGTGTAGGGGTAGCTCAATGCCTAAGATCCCTCTGGAGCCTGCTTTCTGTGGAGTAGAGTATTAGGAGGTGAGATTGCTCTGACTAAATGGAGATAACCAAGTCAGTGATGCCAGCTAGGTCCCTCTGTAGTAAGCAGTAATCTAGTCAACAATCAACTTGTGCAGCACAAAGTGATTCATCTCATTCTAAAATAATATGCACTTCTGGTCAGACAAAACAATCTCTAAAATGCCCGTTTGTTTCCATGTACTGTGACAGAGCCGTGAGAGTATTTCAGAGATTCATTCACACTGTAGACATTAAAATACCAGATGAGAGAAACCTGTCTGATGGAATCTGCAGCTAGACCCCCATAACAACACACACAGGCCTGTAGGAAAAATGAGATACTAGAGGTGTTTTTTTCATCTTCCTACCAGTATGTAACTGTCTGAATACATAACATTCTCCTACACACACACAGTAATTTTTGTGAAGATTGTTCATGATAGCAAAAGACAGCTCATCCAGAGTGGCAGTGCTATGCTCAATGACTCCATAGTTATTATAGTTGTGGTATCACATTTAAGGGTTCATGAAGAAGAAAATTCCACAAATAGAATGTGTTCCCCTTAAGTCCTGTGAGCTTCCTGATGCATGAAGTTCACACTTTAGCTCACCTTGTAGAAATTCAACTGAGTGTCTCAGTTTACTGGGCTGTATGTTCTCTTGTGATTCCTAAGTTTCAGCATAGCACAGTCTGGTTCACAATCCATGTCATGCTTTGTTGCTAAGGAGCTGAATAAAACCTGTGACTATTTATAAAGATTGTTACCTGGGTGGTCAAGCACTGAGCCAAGTTTTCCAGGAGGGTGGTCTCAGCCCTGAGCCTGTCAGTGTTTCAAGAAGCATCTGGACCATGCTCTTTGATGTATGGTTTAACTTCTAAGTTGTCATGAGTGGAGTCAGGAGTTGGCTTTTCTATGATCCTCTTCAGTCCCTTCTAATTCAGGATATTCTGTGATTCTCTCTGTTTCTGCTGAAGTTTCTAGTGCCAAATATAAATAGCAGAGCTCATAAGGGTAGTTTCAATACAGGAGGTGATACAAATAATATGGGAATATAAAATGAAGAATTAATAACTTGTGATTAATTATTGGTTGTTTTGGCTATTAATAATTTAAAGTAATAAATGTAAATAATATGAGTAATAAGTTTAATGGTATCATGTTATCTCTGTAGACTTCTTGGAGCTGAGAGCCTGTCACTGACCTTTGAATGTGCACTAAACATTTCTTTCCAGACAGTTTATGATCATTGTGTTTTACCTGAGCTTATTGGAAAATTAAACATCTAGGTATCTTTTCTGGCTGTTAAAGGGTGAGGCAAGGTATCCTACCTTGGGACTGCTGCCATTCAGTGCTCTGCTTCCTGTCAGCTTTAAGTATATGCTGAAACATACATTTGAGGGACCTTGAGCAAGCTGGAATTTAGATCTCAAGAATTTTTATAATGTCTTGTCTATACTGCTTGTGACTCCCAAGCATAACATGTCAGTTATACAGGTCCTGCTTCCACAGTGCAACTGCCCAGTATGGGCATTTAATTATTTCCTTCACAAGCAAAAATGTGTGTTTAAATGTTCTAAACATCCTTATTCATAGTAAGATCCCACCAGGAATATGCATCTAATGAAATGCAACAGATTTCTTCACAGTACTTCCTCATGCTAGTCTTCTGCTGGATCTGATGTTTCAGTAGTCTAGCTGTAGTTAGAGCTGCTCATTTTCTTTCATTTGTCTCACAAAAAGTATTTCAAGAGATCATCTGGTTCCGCCCATCCTCTTCAGTAATTCTGATTTGTCTTGCACTAGATTTTTGTTGTAAGAATTGTGGTAAGTGCTTATCTTCTGCTTTAAAAAGAAGTTGGCCTTAATTTACTGGTATGTGGGCATCTTCCTCTGATTTAACTTAATCTTTTTTTCTTTCTTTCAGTGTATCTTATCTTTAAATGGTAGCAAATATTACGGTGGGTAGAAAAAACCCCACTCTATAAGATAAAGAGTTGTTGAAAAGCATCAGCTTTCATTTTTAGCACATGCTTACGTGAACTTTTCTGCTATCTTCTGGTGCCTGACAGGAATGACAAGGCTGTGTTCTCACTGTATTTGGGGAACACTTAAGGATATTCATGAAGCAGTTACTCATTTTCTTTGTGACTCTTGACTTTTTGTGTTGGTTTTTTTTTTTGGATAAATGGTAATTATTCCTGTAAATTTTGACAGATATTAGCCACAAATACTTGTCATCTTACAAGAAAGAAGCAGCTTTACTAACTTTTGTGAAGATTTTTTTTTCCTGTATGGATCTATAGGGTAGAAATGTAGTGTTCTATTTATGCATTTACACAGCATTAATTTGTTGTGGGACCATGCAAAGGCCATGCTGATTTTGTCAAGATGCTAATAAAACTTGAAATTGACTTCTTAAACTCTCTGCCAAAAAATACACACCTGAAAATTACTGGAAACTTGTAGATGGACAAGCCCTTAGAAGAGAAAGTTAAGAAACAAACTGTTGATTACCTCAACTGTTATGGATTCCTTGGCATATGTTATTTATGTCTATGCTTGAGTTCGGCTTCCTCCAGTGTATATCCCTGGTCTGTTAAGAGACTGAAAGACCGGGAATCTCAGGTGCTCTCATTGGAGACAGAAAGATGTCCTGAGCACCTGTACATGCCAGGAAATACTGCTGATACCCAGCTTAAGGTCACTCACTGGCTATCAGTTTGCTAGTATGAGATAATATGCATAAAATAAAAATATTGACATACCCAAGGTAAATAATTTACTTCAAATAGCAACCATATCTTAATTACACTAGTTACTTCAGGTTCTTTGTATGGCATTCCAGTTACTGTAGTAAGCTGTGGTTCTTTTCTTTGAAGCTGAAAGTAACTACATGAACTGCTGCATTGGCTTGTAGTCATGACTCAGGGACCTTTGGTTCCAGGAAGCCCACAAGAGTTTTCTCCTTCTGCTGGCTTCCTTCTTTCATGAATGGGAATAGGAGTGTCTTTGCATCATCTTGCTTTGGTGAAAAACTCACCAAGAAAGAAAACAGTTTCCATTTTGAGAACAGAAGTCTTGAATGCAGTGATGTAGCAAGTACTTATTTTATTCTCGGGGTCTGTCTCTAAGCTTTGCCAGCTGGCACAGTGAAATCCACGACCTGTGTGGAGTACAAGGTGTTCTCTTAACACATTTTAGGACTGTGACTTTTAGAGCTGTATGAAAGTCCTAAAAGGACAAGCAAGAACTTTGCTGGGTTTTGTTTTTAACTTTAGTACAGCATGTGTTGGTATGGGGAGAGATGGGAAGTTGTAAATGCAGCAGTAGTTTCTATAGTACTTTGATTCACATTCCTTGAGTATTCCAGCTTATACAGAGAATTATCTTGTCATTTACTGTGTGACTATTGGAGTCAGATTTTTGCTACCCTCAAAAAAACTACAGATGCTGATCCCTTCAAGGTATAGCATGAGTATCAACTATTTTTTCATTTATCTGTATAAATAGATTTTCAAAAGATACATGAATCCTACCTGCTGTTCATAGCATTTTCAGTATCTACTCATTACTGATTGTATTCTGGTTTCTGCAATGATCTTCTAAGCATCTGCATCTTGCACAGGGGTTATTTCCATACATACTCCTGGAAATTACTCTGTATATTCTTCATATAGTATTCTAGCTGTTTCTGCATAAGAGAAGGGACATCCAGAGAGAACGATGGCTGAATGGCAGTTGGGTTGTAGTGTGGTATTGTATCAGTGTCGTGGGCCACCTTAATACTCTGTCCTCTAGTTTTCAAGTGCCAGTCCTTGATTCCCAAGGTGGATCACCTCACCTTATTGGTGCTAACACAGCTGTTGGTAAAACTCACTTAAATTGCAAATAACTGCTTTCCAGGGAGTGTTTGTTTGCCTTGTGTGTAAACCACAGTAACATCAACAGACATCAGGGCAACTGAGGGGAAAAATACGGGGATGAAATGGGAGATGAAGGGAAAATCTAATGAAGGCAACATAGTGTGAAGGTATGAATGTAAACACGTAGCCTCATGACCTTCTGATCAAGATCAGGTTTGATCGTCTGGTTCTAATGGCTCTCGCAGTTCTCACATAAATACAGACTGGGTGGTTCTTGTTGCTTATTTGTAGCTTTTCTTAAATAACATTGTTTTTCTCCTTCTTTTCTCCTAACTACACCCCTTTCTTCCAAATTTGCCTCAACTTGTATTTTCAGTCGGATTAGTTTTTTACAAAGTATCTCAAAAAACAGCATTTGTGTACATTTTATTAAGAAATTAGCTTATCTCTGGTACTTGATAATCTGTGATACACATATATAGTGGATTATGACACCTGGGAAAGGAACACCATCATAAGCCAGGAAGTTTACCCTACTTAATTTTTCCTATGTGTTCTTGAAAACACCTTGTAATAAAAATTCAGAAAAATCTAAAGAGCCTGAAGGTGTGTAACAATTGTTTAAAACAAGCTGGAGCCTGGCCGTGGAAGTAGTTACTCTTTTCTTCCTGTGAAGGAGTTTCAAAGTGAAACCTTAAAGTTTGACACAACAATGAGGCGAGCGCTTAATGACACAGGAGAAATAACTAGGAAGACTTCAGCATAGATATGCCTGCTGAGTATGCATAAAGGTTCTCATGTAATTTTAAAGATCTCTTTCCAAAGTTCACTTCCCTCCCAGTTGAGGCAGTTGCCACAAAATACTACAGTCGTTACAAGTTGCACTAATTAGCTGTAGAGTATGAAAGGCTTCCTCAGCTGGTTGAAGAGTATTACAGCTTTTTCTTCCTTTGTTGTTTTGCTCTGAATTGCAAGCTTCAAATGACTTAAAACACTGGGAGACATGAAATTTATTTGATCCTTGCAAATGTGTTTGCACATAGAAAGCATTTTTGAGAGCTTGCATAAAAGTGCTAATCACAGAATGGTTTAGGTTGCAAGGGGATCATCTAGTTCCAAACCCCTGCCGTGGGCAGGGACACCTTCCACTAAACCAGGGTGCTCAAAGCCCCATCCAGCCTAGCCTTGGTGTTGCAGGGATGGGGCATCCACAGCTTCTGTGGGCAACTTGTTCCAGTGTCTCACCACCCCCACAGTGAAGAATTTCTTGTTCTAGCCCTCTGATCATCTTCGTGGCCCTCCTCTGGACTTGCTCCAACAGCTCCATGTCCTTCCTATGTTGGGGGCTCCAGAACTGGACACAGCACTCCAGGTGGGGTCTCATGAGAGCAGAACATAATGGGAGAATCCCCTCCCTAGACCTGCTGGCCATGCTTCCTTTGATGCAGCTCAGGACACAGTTGTTTCTGGGCTGCAGGCACACATTACTGACTCATGTTGAGCTTCTCATCAACCAATGCCCAAGTCCTTCTCTCTCAGGCTTACTTTCAATCCATTCTTCACTCAACCTGTATTTGTGCTTGGTGTTGCCTCTACCCAGGTGCAGGGCCTTGCACTTGGCCTTGTTGAACTTCATGCAGTTGTATGGGTCCAACTTGCAAGCCTTCATCTCCTACTGAAACAGCTGAAGTCATAGACATAGGCTAATGGCTACATATATACTATGCTATAATAATCTAAATTGGGTCATTTCTGTTGGGATTGGTTGTAATTACATTACATTTGTATTATGAACTTGTATCTTTTTATTTAACCTCTAAACTTTGATGGAAGATAAAAGCAAAGAAGCCAGTAGGTGATGTGGAAATAAAAGTGATTTTTTTTTTTTCCCCCATTTAAGGCCAGTGTGATAAGAAGCCTGAACACAGATGGCATTCTAGAAGCAAAGTCAGAGGCCAAGTATGTATGTGTAATAGACGTCATGCCAGGCCAGCCAGCCTGGCCAGTGGTTGATGAAGTAACCTCACTGGAGGGAGAGCCAAAAGAAGAAACTCTTAATCCTGAGAGTTCCAGTGAAGAAGCATCTTCATGTGCTCCTGCAGAGGCACCAGCCAAAGCAGAAGAGGTGTCTGTGCAGGAAAGCACGGAGGAGGTACCTTCTGATAATGAACACTGTCACAAAGTAAAAGAGAGTTACTTCATTTCTGACAGTAGCCAAATGGATACGTGCAGAAACTCTTCAGATCCAGAGGTTTCTGCTGTGGAAATACAACAGTCCGTCGTTCCAAGAAGCCAGTTTTCAGGCTATGACAAGCCTCATGTTCCATTAGATATGTTGATTGATGTTGGTGAAGAACAGCCTGTGATTGCTTACAGGCCAACAGATTAACCAGGTTAGCTGAAGTGTTTGACCAACACTCAGGAAGAACAGCATTACTGAAGACTATGAGAAGTCTGGATTATATTATGAGCATCTACAAGTTGTACTTGTTCTGATTCAGCCAGAGTAACCAGTACACAACTTATTACAGTGGGATCCTGAAATGAGACTGAAAGTAGTACCTAAGAAGGGCATAAAAAATGGAGAGAAATTTCATAATAACCACTTTCAGAAATGTTTGTGTATATGACATAACTCACTATTTCCTATTTTAAATTATGCTCTGGTTCTTTAGCGGGTTGTCTCTGCTCAAGGCCCTGTTCACACCTGGTGTGTGATGCAGGAGGATGGTGAGGTCCAGCGTGTGCCACAGGATAATTTGACTCTTCAGAGTCAGCTCCTCGAAGAGCCCTCTCCTGGCCTGTCTGGGTGGTGTGCTGGCTGGGTTGGGGTCTGTTTGTCATGGCTCCCTCTGCTGTTCCTGCATCGCCAGAGAACATCCAGACAGATTGCCGCCTTCTGCCTCCCTGAGTGGGACCAGTTCGGCTTCTCCAAGGTCTTGCAGACTGTCAGCAGGACCCTGGACTTGGATAGCAGAGTATCTGCCCCCTGGTTATTGACTAAAGCCATGACAGAGTATAAAGCACCAGCTCTCTCATTATTCCTTTCTGTTCAAATCCTTTTCAAAATTTATTTTTTTTACCTAATGCTTAAGAAGTTCTTCATTTGGTTATGAGAGATGTGCAAGAAATGCTTGAGAGTTTTTATCTTTACTGGAGATATTCTTTTGCTTGTTTGTTGTTTTTTTTTCTTCTGTAAGAGTTTATTTCCATTAACCAAAATGCTACTGTTTCTTTGAAGTAAGAATATGCCTGTGGCCTTTTCCTGTGTATCTTAAGAATTTTATTCCATAGCCAAGAACCAGTTATTTATAGTCTTCTCTGCAACTAGAAGTAGGTGCTTCCAGGAACATTCCTTTGTACATTTCAGTGAGTAAATGGAAAGACTCTTTCCTTTGCAATGTAAGTTCTGTGACAAAAAAAAATATTTTAAAAAATGCTGTTATTTCTGTTTAGCTGCATCTGTTTGGATCACCTAGGTATGCTATGTAACCATGTCATGTTATGGATAACTCCTGTGCTAACATGCTGGCTGATCAATGGGAAAAAAAAGAAGAAATGTGTAATAGGTGTTTGCACAAATTTTTTAGAAAATATTTTTTTAAAAAAGCCTGCTTTTCTCCAGAATATTTTTATCCCAGTTCTTATGACAATATGAATTCTAACAGAAATCAACAGGACTTCTTCCAAACATGTTTTCTAGGAGGCTGAAATTGAGTATAACTTTCCCTTCATGACGTTACCAGAAGGCTTTGAAAATCAGAATTAAGTTGCACTTGAAATGTCATCTCAACTCACTTTTCAGTTAATAGTATATGGTTCACCACTGGTGTGTACTTTTAACAGCTGGTCTACTAAGGAGATGAGCTCCTGCATCTTGTGCAGAGCTTGAAGTTGAAATAATTTCTTTCAGGTTTAGTAGGTTTGTTGATAAATTCCAACTGCCATAAGACCTCAGGACTTTGTAAATATCAGGTAAGTGTTTAACTTAAAACTTGGTTCCAAAGGGAGAAGTGGGGTGTTAGAAACTGTGAAGTTAGTGTGGGTTTTGGGAAGAAGTTTCTAAGCAGACAAATTGCTGAGTGTCATCCTTGCTACTGCTCAGAGTATTTCATCTTCGTGCTATGTGTAGCTTGTGTTCATTCTGCCAGTTTTTGTCAAAAAAACAAACAAACTAAAAATGTTTCTGTTGTCC